TTATTATAATGCCTTGTATCCCCACACAGTAAACATAAATGCGTGTGTGTTTATGTGTCTTTGCCTCCTCCTTTTGGCTACATTGAGAGAGAGTGTCTCAGGTGTGTGAGCCTCATCTGTCAAGGAGGTCGGGGCAGACAGACAGAAGCTGACGACAGCAGCACCCACATGATCCCGGGGATCCCTGTGCAAAATCTGAGCCATAAGGTCCTAAAAGCACAGGGCAGGAAACTGTGCCCCAGCAGGCCAGCCTCGGGGTCTTGCTCCTTGGGCAGGTCTGAGGACCCTGCGGCTGTCCTCTCCTCGCCCCTGATGAATATGGAGGAATCTTCACTTCCTGCTGACTGCTGGGGGGCTTTGTATCTCTCCACCATGCCCCTGGTCTCTGATCCGGTGTCACTCTTTTTGTTATTATTATTCCTTCTGTGTTGACAAGTGATTTAAACACTTCACAGGAGAAAAGACAAAAGAGGGTGGGAGTTGGTGGGGAACCTTTTCTTTGAATCCAGGAGGTTCGTTTTTCAGATTAGCAAATAAATGACTACAAGTGTATAATTAATACTAATAGGTTAATTAGAGAACATTTAGATCTTTCTAGAAAAAAAATTATAAAACCCAATGACTGTCTCCTGAGGCAAACCAGGAGTATTTATTGTAAAAAAACCCTGTGTAGAAGAGTTTACAGATTACTCTGTCCCTTCTTCAGGGCTCCATGATTTCTATGAGTAGCTGGGTAATGGGGCCAGACTGGAGGAGGATTCTGGAAAGCACGGCCAGGGCTCCCTCCAGGGAGGCAGAACAGCTGCTGTAGGCATTGGGGGAGTCAGGGCCAGGGCTACCCTCCCCCACCCTGTCTCTCTGAACTCAGGCTGTCACCCTGCTTTTTCTGTTGGTCTCTGTCTCTGTCTCTGTCTCTTTCTCTCTCTGTGCCCTTTTCTGCTCAGCTGTGACTGTCACTCAGCCTGAGTCAACCTCTCCGTCCTCCAGACAGTGGGATTTCAGAAAGTGTCTGTGCCTTGACAACATTTACTGGCAGCAGAGTGGGGGGGGGGGGGGGGGTAGGGTAGCAGGAGTGGGGTGACAGGCTAGCACACAAGTCACGTCCATTCCAGCAGGCTAGCCTTCTCGGGCGAGACATGCTCTGGCTGGCCTGGAGGAGTGGCCCTGGGTCAGAACTTTCAGCTGAGCTCTGACTTCCACTCACTGAGCAGAGGACATGTGGGATGCAGTGGAAGGGGGATATGTGTTTAATCAGCCCTGGCAGGGTGAGGCCCAAAGCTGGGCAGGACAGAGGGAAACCTAGCCATCAGAGTCAGTTCCTGTTTGTTCGGGTGCAGCATTTCTGGAAGTGAAGGCCCAGGGCTCTGCCCCAAAGCCCTGCTGCCTTCAAGGCCTGTTGAGATGGATGATTGAAAAGCCCTGATGTGGTTTCAGTTTTGTCTTCCAAAAAGGTATGTTGGGGTCCTAACTCCCAGTACCTTGGGATGTGACCTTATTTGGAAATAAAGTCACTGCATATGTAGTCAGTTAAGACGAGGTCACACTGAAGTAGAGTCGATCCTTAATCTGATATGATTGGTGTCCTTGGAAAAAGAGGAGACAGGGGCGCCTGGGTGGCTCAGTCGATTAAGCACCCAACTCTTGATTTCGGCTCAGGTCATGATCTCATAGCTCATGAGTTTGAGCCCCTCATTGGGGCTCTACATTGGTGGCTCGGAGCCTGCTTGGGATTTTCTCTCTCTTCCTGTCTCTCTCTCTCTCTCCCACCCCCTGCCCAAAATAAATAGACATACTTAAAAAAAAAAAAAAAAAAAAGAGACGCAGAAAAGATGACCCTGTGGCAGTGGAGGCGGACGCTGCTGTGATGCTGCACATGCCCAGGGATGCCTAGGTTTGGTAGAAGCCACAGGAAGCAAGGAAGGAGCTTCCCCTAGACTTTTGAGGAAGCATGCTCCTCCCAACACCTTATTCTGGCCTCCAGGACTCTGAGAGAATAAATTTCTGCTATTTTAAGTTACCAAGTTTGTAGTGCTTGGTTACAATAGCTCCAGGAAACTAACGTATAGCTCTTAGCAGCCACCCTGACTCACTGACTAGTAAGACCTCAGTTCAGTCTGAGAATGAAATCTCAAATCAAATACCTGGGAGAAAATAAGCAGGTCTCAGAGTGAGCACGCAAGGAATTGTACCATGGAAGGTTCAAGAGCCAGCCCCCTGCTGTCCCCCAACCCTCAGGATGTCTCGCTGCCTACTTGGACAGTCAGTATGTCCTGAGAAGGACCAGGTGAACCCTGAACAAGAGAGAGACCATCTCAGGAGTTTGGAGAAAAAGAAACCAACATTTTCTTCTATTGTCTCATCTGTATTTTTAATGATAATAGTAACACTTACCGTGTACTGAGCATTTGCCATGCACCAGGCGTTATGAACTATGTAAGGATGTTCTCATGCGTGGCTGCCCCTGAAGTTAGCTCTGCAGCTCCTGAGGGCTCACAAAAGAAGATGTCTTTCTTTTGCACCAACCCAGTTTGTCAAAATTGAGGAAAATGAGGGAGGGATGGTTACTTTTCAAAGTTTCACACAGTGCCCTGTTATTAAAACTTATCCCACCACCATTCCCTTCACATACAGCCAGTGACTCACCCTAGTTTCCACTTTCTACAAAGTAGTTTTTGAGTTATTACTATTTTTTAAGTTGGTGCTGCTTTCATCAGCTTGAAACAAACAGAAAAGCTACCTTTGATGAGAGAAGGTCCAGAAAGAACTAGAAAGTTACACAAGATACCGTTCACATCCCATTAAAAACAGGTGATCTGAGGACTCCTCTCTCGGGACCCCTGCTCAAGTGGAGGGGGAGGAGCAGGTAGGACAGGAAATCCTTGGGAATAAATGGCAAACCCATATCCCCACCTTCTTCTGTGTCTCCATGAACATGGAGCAGAAGAGACTGAGGAGGTGGGGGCAGGAGAAGAGAGAGAAACACCAGCTTGCCAGCCATTGCCCACACCTACCACATACTGAGGTTGTCACCCTGCCAAGGCCTGTCCAGGGCAGGAACCACTCAGGGAGCAGAGACAAGCCTGCTCTGGGGCTGAGTAGAGATGATATTTCTCAGAAAGGGGGCCAGAAAAGGAGGATGGGTGATGTTCCAATGCAGATTTAAATTTTGCAAAACGGCCTCCTCCTCTGGCAAAATCATCCCCCCACCCACGGTGACACCTCTTCTTCCCCTAATGGGTCTGCTGCAACGCAGCACCCTGTCAGACCCAGTCACTTCACCTTGCAGCCAACATGTACTTTATCCTCAAAATGTAAATTGTGAAGCAAAAAATTGCAAATTGCACCAGGGGTTTGAGGACAAATGTAATAATGCCTATTCATGTAAGATCAAAACTGTATGAGGAATTATAATGTGTAAACTGTTAGCAACTGCAACATGTAAACAATAATACTTATTATTATCACTGTAGACTTCCAAATATCACTCGGGCTTCGGGAACTATAAGGAACATTTCTAGGCTGTGGAGGATGGGAGAGCCGCCAGTCCTTCCTGATTTGACAGCCCAGCCATAACCTACATTTTCAACTTGCAGAAAAAGGAAAATGCAGGTCGAACCCCAGGAGGGAAACCAAAGGAAAAGAGGATCTAGGGAAGTTGCTAGAATCCAATTGCAGGGAAGTGATTTGATTTTCTGTGTTGAGTTAAAGGTGTCAGGACCAGAGAGGAGGTATATCAACAGTTGTTTTGTTTGCCCAACAAAAGGAGATTGTGTTAGACCCCTGCTGACCCACAGCTAATCCCACCCCCAAAGGCCTAGGAAAAAGCTGTTTGCTGAGTCTGTGAGCACCATTTGCACCTTCAGGCTGCAGCAAACAGGTACTAGACCAGAGCCAGCTCAGAGACAGCCAGCCCCCTCCCGCAGCCGCAGCCGGAAAGCTACCAGGAAACGCCTAAAGGGAAGAGCTTCATTAGCCACACTGCTCGAGAAGCCAATCACAGGATCCCATTCAGACAGAGAGCCAATCACATTCTCTGGACAGGACATGGGCCAATCGTCTCTCTTCCCCCACCCATTCCTTTCCATTCCGAGCCTTGCCCTTCTGGGGCTTGTTTAGCAGCGCCAGTGGCCAGAGAAGCTGGAAGGGAGGGGCTGCTGAGGACCCCCAAGCCAGGGCAACCGAAGGAGCAGACTCTGGCAGAAGGGCTGGGCACAGATATGGATGGTAAACTCCAATTCATCGATTCCACAAATGTACAGCTACTGGGTACTGCCTCTGTGCCAGGCACTGGAAATAAGAGACACAACGTTACCCTAGAAGAGCTGAGTCTAGTCGAGGAGACAGAGAAGTAGACAAATACAGCCTTTGCATGAGAATGTGATGAAAGGCAAGCCAGGGCACAAGACGCTGTGGGAGAAGAGAAACTCATGGAAGCAGGGCAGCAAGAAACCGTCCATGAGGATGACAGTGGCACCCAGGAGCATACCATAGCCCCCACAGGGCCTGCACCATAGCCTGAGACCCTCACCACACCATACGCATCAGTATTAGTGTGTGAGGGTTGCCATAACAAAGCCTGGCTGGCTTCAACAGCAGAAATTGATTTTCTCAGACTTCTGGAGGCCGCAAGTCTAATTCAGGTTGTGAACAGGGTTGATTTCTTCTGAGTCCTCTCTCTTTAGTTTGTGGATGGCTGTCTTCTCCCCATGTCTTCAAATGGTCTTCCTTCTATACAAAGCTTTGTCCAAATGTCCTCTTCTTATAAGCGCACCAATCATACTGGATTAGGGCTCACCCTAATGACCTTTATCTCCAAACACAGTTGCTTTCTGAGGTACTGGGGGTTGGGATTTCCACATATGAATTTGGGGAGGGCACTTCAGCACATTACACCATCATTTTTTACAACTGTGGTGAAGCTGCTATTTAGCCACTGTCTCCCCCAAAGCACACAGTGACCGTTAGCTTTTTGTCTTCTAAATCTTCTGTATTAGGTGCCAGGCTGACTCAAACCTGGACCCACTCCTGTCATGTGAGAGGGATGGAGAAGCCCTGCATCTGGTTCTTGAAGTAAAGGCCTTCATCACTCTTTTCCTCAAAGAGCTGCATGTCGATTAGAGTCTTGGAACAATCGCTTTCCACTGCTCATTGGCCCAGCTCACTGGCCTCTTGCCCAAGGTATTTGAGAAGTCACTTTATCTACAATAAGAACTGGTGTTGCTTTTGGAGCTGGCAGGGAGAGAGCCAGTGAAGTGGCCATCCATCAAACGAGGCCCACACAGGCTGGCCTGAACCCCTGCGGAGGGTGCCAGATGTTCTAATCTATCACCATGGGTCACAGGGGGATAGTCTTTGATCGCTGAGACCCTAAGGCAACACGGCAGGACTCTGCACAGTCTGCGTGAAGATAGGGGAGGCACCTGGTCTTCATTCCATAGCTCAGTGTGATGAAGGGTTATGGGACTTTACTAGGAGCTGAGAACCAAGGAGAGAAATGAATAGGCCGCTGGCTGGGTCCTCAAGGAGCTTACATTCTCCTGGGGAAGACTGTCCACCTAAGAATGCATTAGGTTCTGGCTGAGTTGCTTGGGGGTTCAGAGAGGCTTCCAACAGGAGCTAATGCCTGAACAGAATTTGGAGGATCACTAGTGCTAGGCAGCTCTGTTGATGGGGCCAGGGAGTAGAGCAGGATGGTCCAAGCAGTGAGGGAGGAAGTGGCAGAAGTGGGATCGGAGAGATGGCCAGGAGGTAGAGGGATAAAAAAACCATGCTAAGTGGTTTGGACATTTCCTGTGAACTTTCAGACTGTGTTTGTTGGGGTCACTGGGGCTCTTTTGTGGTGCCTTGGGATAAGGAGCAAGACTGAGCAAGCGAGATACTCATCAAGGCATCTTGGCTCTGTCCTCTTTTGATTATTGGGATTTCATTTGAAAAAGAAATGTTGTAAAGCTTAAAATCAGCAACTACTATTGCGTTAGCTATTAGAGAGTCCTTGTGGGATTCTCAGCACAGAACGGTACGGTGACGGTGTGGAATCTGAAGCCGGGGTGGGGGGCTGCCACAGGCCTGGAGGCAGGGGCAACAGTTAAGAGACTGGTGTAATCGTCCAAGAAAAGAAATAGAAAGGAATTGAGAAATTGGAGAAAGGGTTGGGAGGTGAAGCTGATTACACTTGCTGTTGATTTAACATGGAGAGTGTAGGGGAGAGAAAGTTCTTCAGTGCTTCCTGAGTTTATTGCCCAGGTGAGTGGGTGCACGCTGGTACCTTTAACTGGTCAAAAGAGTGGAGGGGAGGGAGCTTATTTGGGCAATCACATGAGGAGTCAGGTGCTGGCCATGTGGACTTCAATGTGCTGTTGGGACACCCAGGTAGAGCTGTCTAGGCGGCCATGTAATTAAGTCGTCTGAAGTCTCGATATATCCCAGCCTGAATAGAATGCCTTGCATATTGCAGACAGGTGCCAGTGACTGCATATTTTTAATTTTAAAATTTATGTACGAAGTCTTCAGGGTTCTCTGTAATGTCTTCTATAGCTACTTTTCAATCTTACCTCCTTTATACTTCCCAAAAGTATATGAAATTAGAATAGGCCAGCCTTCCCTGTCCACAAAGGCTCTGCTCAGCCAGATCAGCTTCTTAACTGTTTCCCAGTATACATCTCTTTGGAACCTCTGGAACAGATAGAGAGATAGTGGAGAGATAAAATGGATATCTCCAACATTGTGTTCTTAGAAAATGTAATGAAAGGTATGATACATGATGCACCGTTTCTCCATTTCTGCAGATGCCCTTCTCCCACTCCTGTCTATGTGGCATGACTCACTCCACCAAAACCTCGTGCTGGTTCCATTTTTTCCACAGATCCTCTGACTCTGCTCGCTTAAGGAGGGTGAATTGCAGGTTAGTTTGTAGCAAGCGTCTGCAAGTTTGTAGGGGAAGATTCATTCTTTAGAATACACTTTCGGTTTCCATTTGCCCAGAGACTTACCATCGGGGCACCCCAGCCCCACAGCCCTGGGCACAGTTGCCCTCGTCTAGTGATGGGGAGCTTCCCCACTCATCAGGATACTAAGTGCTCTCAGGGAGCCAGGGCACCTTGTTCTGGGTCAAAGGCATCTAGCTCATCCGAGATCCTGGACCCCACCAGCCTGTCTGCTCTGTCAGGGTCTGTTTATAACCTGTGGGTGTTCTTTGACCACATCCCAGTACTGCTGGATTTCCATGGCCACATGCTGAGCCCACCTTCCCCTGCCTTACTTTTAGTCTGCCCCTACTCCCAGATGGATTCTAATTCTCCAGCCCTGGGCAAATGCTTAGCAACAAAACCCAAGAGCCCAGGCCTCTTTCCAGCACTCCAAGCAGCATCTCCTTCTGCAGAGTCCTACCTCTTCAGCGGGTGGTAATGTGCTTTATTCATTGAGGAGCAAACACAGAGGGTTACTGAGTTCTCCAACCGTGGACATTGTCTCTTCCCTACATCCACTGTCCCTTCTGAGTTACTCCACTTTTCAGGGTGCCCAAGGAACCCCAAGGTGACTGCTGCCTAGATGGCTGCCTCTTCAGGGTCAGTCAAGGTGTTCAGCTCATTTTCTTTCCATGCACTGTCTTGCATCCGAGCAATAGGGATTCTTTCTACCCCTCCCAAGTAAAAGAATGATTTATATGGCCCACATGGTATACTTGTAAAATACACACAAGGCCTGATAAATTATACAGTATTTATTATCCCACTAAAATGATACCCTTTGCTTAATTAAAGTAGCCATATGCTGTAGTGCAAATCATTCTCATTCATTAAGATCCCAAAATATGTTAAAAAAAGAAAAACAGCCAGCAGCAGTTAGGAAGAATACAATAAGATCACACGGTTTTGAGGCCATAACTGCATTAAAAATAGCCTCACTCTTCAGGGTGATGTTTTACCAAACATGGCCATCCCTCCATCCATTCATTTTTTAAGCAAATAGGCGTTGAGCACCTGTGCTGCCAGACAGCTTTCAGGTACCTGGGACACTACCTGGCCTCTGTCCTCAAGGGGCACGCAGGCTAGTGTGAGAGAGAGACCAGTAAACAAGCACCACAAGCAGGTAACTGGCTATGTGAGCCACATTAGAGGCTCATCTAACCTAGCCTTGTTGGGCCAGGAAGGTTTCCCAGAGGAAGTGCTATCTGGGTTACATCCTAAAGGATAATTAGGTCTGGGAAGTGTTCCAAGCTATTCCCTTTTCCGTTACCTTGTTTATTTTCTTCTTAGTGATTAACAGATCACAAATATGGGATTATTTTTTTTATTTGTTTACATGAATATTTTCTGTCCCTCACCCTTCCGTTTACCACCTGAAGATAAGCTCCAGTAGGGTGCACGACTTTCCCATCTTGTCCAGTGTTTTTCCCCCAGCACCTTTCATAGTGACTAGCAAATAAGAGGGCCTCACATAGATCTCCTGAATGAAAAAATGAACACTGACTAAAGAGTAGCATGTGCAAAGGTCCAGAGCTTTGTGTGCATAGGAGGTGCTCTGAAAAGGGCAGAAGCCATCATGCCACGTTGCCCAGCGCTTCATGCCAGTCCCCATCACCTCTGTTACACTCCTCCACAACACACCCTTCCACACACTTGCCCCTTTCCCACAGGAACTGGCATTTTCCCACTGGCTAGAGTAAATAAGCACATTTGCATCCTGGAACAACGGCAGCTATGTTTCTCCATGACCTTGGGGGTTAATGGCCATTGGCTTCCGGGTACCATCTGCAGGGAACTACGGAAAGAACAAACTCAGCTGTGACCACCTGGCAGCTTCACTGGCACCGAGAGCCACGATGGAGTCCCCCCCTCCCCCCACCACCACACCCTCACTGTTGGGAAGCTGTGTCCAAGGTGGGAACCACACTGAGGCCAGAGTCAGAAAAATCTGGGTTCAAATCCAACCTTTCCTGTCTTGGCCAATGTACTTAATCTCCCTGAGCCCTTTCTCTATCTTTAAAACGGTCATCAAATTACCCCCTTCATGAAACTTTTAGGGATTAAATTCAGGAAATTAGGGGAAAATTCCTCAATTCTCTAAGACTCAGGTGCCTCATTAGTTAAATGCAGATAATGGTTAAGAGTATCTGTCTCACAGGGTGATTGTGAAGTTTACATGAAATACTGGAGATGAGACTGCACATGTGTGATTGTTTGTGTCCAGGGGAGAGAGACCAGAAGTGTCCTCCAGATCATCTAATAATATCAATCACATTTACTGAGTGTTTACTGTATGCCTGGCACTTCAAATTTAATACCTAAAGTTTCTCTCAAGCTGGATTATTCCCAGGTTCCTGACATGAGGGAGGGGAGGAAAAAGAAAGAATTTCTTGCCAGTTTATCTTGAACCTAACTTACATATATATATGAAGACCTTAAAACGTATATGAAATCCATTAGATGGATTGTGGCAGGTTGTATTTCCCCAAAACAGCCATGACAATGCTATCCATTCTGCATGTCCTTCTAGAACCTTCCACATATTTCCCTATCAAGAAGTGGGGTCTGTGCCTCCTCCCCTTAAGTTTGCACGAGCCATTGGTTTCAACCAGGTTGGATAGTTCCAGAGCCCATGTTTTTATGGGATGCTGATACGTGGGACTATTTGTAAACCTTTTTGATGAAGCAGTGGCCCTCTATTGGGAAGGAGGAAAAAATTAAGCTGGAATGGCAGGCCAGGGCCAGATTAGGAGGCCTTGAATGCCATCCTTTGATCACTTAGTGACACACACAGCCAGGTACCACCTGAACTACGATTTACATAGTGATTTTCCTTAAATCAAATTTAAAACTATTCCTTTAAAAAAAAAAGAAAGAATAGGGGCGCCTGGGTGGCTCAGTCGGTTAAGCGTCCGACTTCGGCTCAGGTCATGATCTCGCGGTCCATGGGTTCGAGCTCTGCGTTGGCCTCTGTGCTGACAGCTCAGAGCCTGGAGCCTGTTTCAGATTCTGTGTCTCCCTCTTTCTCTGACCCTCTCCTGTTCATGCTCTCTCTCTCTGTCTCAAAAATAAATAAATGTTAAAAAAAAAAAAAAGAAAGAAAGAATAATAATCACAGGTTTTATGTCCCATTTATATTTATCTAACATACATAAAATAAGCATTTACCTCCTTTTTAAAAAAATGTTTGTTCGTGAATCCCCCGATAGAGTG